TAAACACAACCATTCCTGGACGACTGCTTATATCATAAAGGCAAAGTAAAATAATATAGGTGAATTTCACAATGGATTGAAAACAGCAAAGTTTATAAATAATTTCTAGAATCTTGCTCAATCTTAATTAGGTGTCCTTTTACCAGATAGTTGAAGAATGCCATAAATTAGAATGCCATGGGGGTACTCCAAATTTCATTATTATTGAAGTTGGGCGATTGTTTTTCTTATGAAAACAAGTAATGCATGGCACAGTTCCCCCATTAGTTATCAAATCTAAGTTATATAAGTTTTGTTTATAGTAATATATATATAGTACAAGTACTTGTCCATATTGAGAGATATTGCTGGAACAGCATTAATTAAAACAAAATGGCTACCGATCGGCCATTTTTAATCGGATTGTCAAACCAATACATATATGAATCTATAAAATTTGAACATCCGTCAAAGCATCTCAGAAATATTGCTCTAGAATTGCATTTATTAAAACAATATGGCCACCAGTCAGCCATTTTGAATCCGATCTGGAATCACGCACGGACATAAAGAGGTCCAAACAGGAACTAACAAATGACAAAGAAAGTATGGCATCAAATGTTATTGCAATCACGATTTTTTACTCTATTCCGCCATTTTGTATTCTAAAACTAATTAGTCAATAGTGGTCAAAATTACCAAATAATTTTTACAGTACTTTATAACTCACCTTACTCCTTGGGACCAGACATGTTTGTTCAATCTTGTATCAATTCGCACATCTGGAGTGCCCATCATCTTTTCAGCAAATTTTCTAACTTCTTTCACAGCACGAGGTGCTCTCCTTTTAAAACCACTGCCAAAAACAAAGATAATAACATTGAGTGTGTATACAGTTCTCCCAACCATTGTAAAAATGACAGCATTCACCTTTGAAGCACCATACTGTGCAGTGTTCTCCCCAGACTTCATGTCAAGCATCACGGTCAATTTGCATAACAATACATCTAATTTGCATAATTATATTTGCATAATACTAGTAATCAGTTTTTCCCAACCAATTTGGTCAATCTACTAATACAATTAATTAATACAATTAAGACAAGATATTTTTATATTTGATAAATTTTATATCATTTTACTGCATTGTATTTTATGTTTTTGTATCAAGTCAAATAAAGTTTGAAATAGAACAGCATAAAAAGGAAAACAAATTGAAAAACTTGTGTTATAGTTAGTCAGTGAATATAATGTTATCCATGGATGTAACTGGTTCATCATTGTGT